AGTATCAGTACAGTGATGTTATAGTGACAGTATCAGTACAGGGATGTTATAGTGACAGTATCAGAACAGTGATGTTATAATGATAGTATCAGTACAGGGATGTTATAGTGACAGTATCAGTAAAGGGGTGTTATAGTGGCAGTATCAGTACAGGGATGTTATAGTGACAGTATCAGAACAGGGATGTTATAGTGACAGTATCAGTACAGTGATGTTATAGTGACAGTATCAGTACAGTGATGTTATAGTGACAGTATCAGTACAGGGATGTTATAGTGGCAGTATCAGTACAATGATGTTATAGTGACAGTATCAGTACAGGGATGTTATAGTGACAGTATCAGTACAATGATGTTATAGTGACAGTTTCAGTCCAATGATGTTATAGAGAGTATCTGCATGAAATATAAATATAAATTTTAAAACAGCTATCACGTATGTTTACACTTACGTTGAAGACTGAAACACATTAAAAATCCGGGAAATTGGCTACCGCTATCTGATATGAATACTACATCCACAGAGGATACATTGTTCCAGGTTTCACTCTGAAGAGATTTCCCACAGTTCCTTCTTGCTAATCCGCTATCTGAAGGAAGCAGTGAAAGTACATACATTATATACCACAACATCATATACCAAATTATCGTAGAAAGGACCAACATTTACCAAACAGTGGTATATCACACCAACGTATACCACACTATCATATACCACATCATTATATACCTCACACTCATTAACCACACACTCATATACCACATCATCATATATTACATCATCGTATTCCACACTATCATTTACCACATCATCATATACCACACCATCATATATCACATCATCATATATCACACCATCGTATAACACATCATCGTATACCACACCACCATATACCACAAATTGTTTACCACACCGTCATATACCACACATCGTATACCACACCATCATTTACAATAACTTCGTATACCACACGACCATACACTACACATCGTAAACCACACCATCGTATACCACACATCGTATACCACACCGCCATATACCACTCATCGTATACCACACCATCATATACCACACCACCATATATCACACTTCGTATACCACACAACCATATACCACACATCGTATACCACACCATCGTATACCACACCATTGTATAACACACCAACGTATACCACACCACCATGTACCAAATATCGTATACCACATCATCATATATCACACCATCGTAAAACATACCATCGTATACAACACCGTCGTATACCACAACATCGTATACCACACCATCGTATATCATACCATCATATACCACACCATCGTATATCACACCGTCGTATAACACACCATCATATATCACACCATCCAGATAAGACGGACTACGACTGACACTTTACTCCACAACACAATTATCATGAACCAGATAAGATGGACTACGACTGAACCAGATAAGATGGACTACGACTGACACTTTACTTCACAACACAAGTATCCTGACCTAGATAAGACGGACTAGGACTGACGCTTTACTCCACAACACAGGTATCCTGAACCAGATAAGATGGACTACGACTGAACCAGATAAGATGGACTACGACTGACACTTTACTCCACAGCACAGTTATCCTGAACCAGATAAGACGGACTAGGACTGACGCTTTACTCCACAACACAGGTATCCTGAACCAGATGAGGCGGACTACGACTGAACCAGATAATATGGACTAGGACTGACGCTTTACTCCACAACACAGGTATCCTGAACCAGATAAGATGGACTACGACTGACAATTTACTCCACAACACAGTTATCCTGAACCAGATGAGGCGGACTACGACTGAACCAGATAATATGGACTACGACTGACACTTTACTCCACAACACAATTATCCTGAACCAGATAAGATGGACTACGACTGAACCAGATAAGATGGACTACGACTGACACTTTACTCCACAACACAATTATCATGAACCAGATAAGATGGACCACGACTGAACCAGATAAGACGGACTACGACTGACACTTTACTCCACAGCACAGTTATCATGAACCAGATAAGACGGACTACGACTGAACCAGATAATATGGACTACGACTGACACTTTACTTCACAACACAAGTATCCTGACCTAGATAAGACGGACTAGGACTGACGCTTTACTCCACAACACAGTTATCCTGAACTAGATAAGACGGACTAGGACTGACGCTTTAATCCACAACACAGTTATCCTGAACCAGATAAGACTCCACAACACAATTATCATGAACCAGATAAGATGGACCACGACTGAACCAGATAAGACGGACTACGACTGACACTTTACTCCACAGCACAGTTATCCTGAACCAGATAAGATGGACTACGACTGACACTTTACTCCACAGCACAGTTATCCTGAACCAGATAAGACGGACTACGACTGACACCTTACTCCACAACACAGTTATCCTGAACCAGATGAGGCGGACTACGACTGAACCAGATAATATGGACTAGGACTGACGCTTTACTCCACAACACAGGTATCCTGAACCAGATAAGACGGACTACGACTGACACCTTACTCCACAACACAGTTATCCTGAACCAGATGAGGCGGACTACGACTGAACCAGATAATATGGACTAGGACTGACGCTTTACTCCACAACACAGGTATCCTGAACCAGATAAGACGGACTACGACTGACACTTTACTCCACAACACAGTTATCCTGAACCAGATAAGATAGACTACGACTGAACCAGATGAGACGGACTACGACTGAACCAGATAATATGGACTAGGACTGACGCTTTACTCCACAACACAGGTATCCTGAACCAGATAAGATGGACTACGACTGAACCAGATAAGATGGACTACGACTGACACTTTACTTCACAACACAAGTATCCTGAACTAGATAAGACGGACTAGGACTGACGCTTTACTCCACAACACAGTTAACCTGAACCAGATAAGACGGACTACGACTGACACCTTACTCCACAACACAGTTATCCTGAACCAGATGAGGCGGACTACGACTGAACCAGATAATATGGACTAGGACTGACGCTTTACTCCACAACACAGTTAACCTGAACCAGATAAGACGGACTACGACTGACACTTTACTACACAACACAATTATCATGAACCAGATAAGATGGACCACGACTGAACCAGATAAGACGGACTACGACTGACACTTTACTCCACAACACAAGTATCCTGAACTAGATAAGACGGACTAGGACTGACGCTTTACTCCACAACACAGGTATCCTGAACCAGATAAGATGGACTACGACTGACAATTTACTCCACAACACAGTTATCATGAACCAGATGAGACGGACTACGACTTAACCAGATAATATGGACTACGACTGACACTTTACTCCACAACACAATCATCATGAACCAGATAAGATGGACTACGACTGAACCAGATAAGATGGACTCCGCCTGACAATTTACTCCCCAACACAGTTATCATGAACCAGATGAGACGGACGACGACTTAACCAGATAATATGGACTACGACTGACACTTTACTTCACAACACAAGTATCCTGACCTAGATAAGACGGACTAGGACTGACGCTTTACTCCACAACACAGGTATCCTGAACCAGATAAGATGGACTACGACTCAGAACAGTGATGTTATAGTGACAGTATCAGTACAGGGATGTTATAGTGGCAGTATCAGTACAAGGATGTTATAGTGACAGTATCAGTACAGGGATGTTATAGTGACAGTATCAGTAGAGTGATGTTATAATGATAGTATCAGTACAGGGATGTTATAGTGATAGTATCAGTACAGGGATGTTATAGTGACAGTATCAGTACAGTGATGTTATAGTGACAGTATCAGTACAGGGATGTTATAGTGACAGTATCAGTA